GTACCACTATGTCCTGTAATCCAGCATAAAGTGTAGGTATCTGCTTTTGCAGCCCCCTTAGATTGTTCCAGCACTCCCCCCCCCCCTCACCCCCAGGGTGGGGAGCAGTATTTCCACATTGGGAAATACTACTTTAGGTTAATTTTAAAAATGATATCCTCAAGTATTTAGATGCCATGCTAATCATGGTGGATATAAAAAAAATTAGAAAATACCAAAAGTTCGCAGTGATTAATATCTGAGAAAGTTAAGCCTTCCGCATACTTTGTGATTGTTAGGTACCATCAAATCAGTTCTGATTCCTAGCGTCCCTGTGTACAGTAGAATGGAACACATCCTGGCCTGGGCCAGTTGAGCCAGTTGGTGAGCTACTGTGCCAATCCATCTCATTGACAATCATCATCTTTTTTGATGACCCTCCACTTTTCTAAGCATGATGCCCTTTTGCTGGGACTAATCTCTCCTGATAACAAGTCCTAAGTACAAGAGATGAAGTCTCACTATCCTTCCTTCTAAGGAGCATTCTGGCCGTACTTCTTCCAAGACAGATTTGTTTTCTTCTGGCAGTCCATGGTACTTTAAATATTCTTTGCCAACATCATAATCTTAACATTTTAGGGTTGCTTTTTAAAAAATCATTATGTGTGTGTGTGTGTGTGAACCAAGTGGGTTTTTATAAAGGACGGAAGAAGTTTCAGGTTTTACAGTTTCAAAAGAGTACATGGTATTTCGGGGAACCATGCCAAACCATGCTGGGGCTCACCACTGAAAACAGGCAACCTTGTGGGACCGCTCACCCACACGTGGTGATCCGAGGCCAGAGAGACCGAGGCATACCCAATGGCGCAGGACCAGGAGAAATGACAGAAATCCAAAGCGGGGAGATAGCAAAAGTCCGAAGAGGGGAGGGAGTGTCCAATGTCCCCTTGTCCTCCCCCAAGGTATTTAAAACCAATGGCTGAGGAGGTGTGGTCGAAGGTGTTGGTTGACCCCATTGGCTGAATCAAGCCCACCTGGCCGGGTTAGGAGGGGAGGGATGGGGATGGATAGGGTTACTTTGAAACAGATTGTTTCATCAATATTTGTTTGTGTACAGCATTTTAACCAAAATGCGAGTAGAATGGATTGTATGAAATTAAAGACAGCTGGAGGATGTAATGATTTCTGTGTCTGCCTGAAGAGCTAAGCTGAGAAAAGAGGGCAGATGAGCAACGAAGACCACCTTTGCTTTCTTTCCAACTTTGTCAGCAGTTGATGTCAGCCCTCATAAACATGATCAGGACCGTTGGAGTGAGTGCAGGCCTCCGGCTTCACTTCTCCTCTCTCGTTCCACCTCTTTCTCCGGAAGGTCAGCGGGGCATCAGAGGGAGAGGGAGCTTTTGAGAGCGGCATCTTGAAATGTTTTTGTTCACAGGAGAACTTTGATTTTTGTTCTTGAATATTTGTACTTAAAAAAAATCCTTTTGGAGTCATAACAGTTTTAATGAGTTATGTTTTACCAGTTTTATATATTATATTTAGTTGGGTCTAGATCTAAATAAGTAAATCCTGAAAATTAATTTGAGTTCTTATTAACATTCTTATGTAAGTGTCGATGTGCTTGTTGCTGTTGCACTTTTCTTTGTTTTAACTGCTGCGACCCAAACAAGAAAATTGTGAATTTAGTCACTCTGACGTTAACTTGCCATTCTATTTTTGAGACTTCATTAATGGCAAATGCAGCAGAATGACTGACTAAAGCTTTAACACTTCAAGCTTCATGTAGATTTAAGTGGCACATGTATCCCTTTTTGCTTTTTTACTTGGTTAGCAAAAAATACCTTTTATCTTGTGCTCTCACTTCTGCAGAAATGCATGTGATTGTGAGTCTGAAATAGCAATTAGAACAGTACTGAAAGTATTTTTAACATCAGGCATCATTATTTGACATTCTAACTCAGTGGTTCTCAACCTTGCTAATGCTGCGGCCTTTTAATACAGTTCATCATGTTGTGGTGACCCCCGACCATAAAATTATTTTCGTTGCTACTTCATAACTGTAATTTTGCTACTGTTATGAATTGGGTGACACCCAAAGGGGTTGCGACTCACAGGTTGAGAACTGCTGGTCTAACTTAAATAATTCTGTTGTTGGAAATAGAAGTAACTGTGATCCTTTGACAGACTATAGCCATTATCAGAGAAGGTTGTTAACTTATTTGAACCCGTCTCCGAAATCAAGAACAGAAAAAGCAATGTTAAGTAAGTACAGTCGTTAAAAACCACAGCAAACAAACAGCGCTGTTCTAAATGGGGGAACTCGGAGTTAAACATTGACTGGATAGCACCTAGCCACAGCAGGGGACTGGCACCCATCCAGTAATGCTGCCTGCACCTGAGTTTTTAAGACATAGTTAGTAAATATTTTAGGTAGGATGTTAATAAACATTCTTTGGAAAAGGATTCCATGGTCTTTTAACTTTGGGAAGTCGTAAGTTAAACCAAACAAAATACTTGTTTACTGACATTTTCGCTTAGAAACTCTTGTTAAAAGCTTATCCCTGTACTTCCTCTCCTTGTGTCTGTGCAATCATTTGCTAAGTCCTGTCATTCTACCTTTGTAGGGTCTTCTGTGTCTGCCTTTTCCTTTCCATCTCGTTGCCCTAGTTCTGACCTTGATCACCTTTCCTTCGGATCATTGTAAGAGATAACTACTAGTGTATTTCGAATTCCAGTCTCGCAAAGCCTCACTTTGTGTTGCCATCAATTTGGATACCCAACTCCCTTTAGAAGCCTGCTATACTCCCCACTACCTGTAGAAAATAAAGGGAATGCTTTGACATGTCATTCAAGTCCTTCCGTTATCTTTTTCTGGACTGTATTTTTCAGGGTGCATTCCCCAGTAGATCTTTAATTTCTTGATTCTTTCCTCATACTGTATCTCATCTCTATCAAAAGCCTTCTCCCACCGACTTAGACAGAATACTTTTTTCATAAGACCTTCCAAGGTCACAGTAAACATTCCATCTTTCCCCTTCATTTTTCCCTTACGCAGTACGGTCTTTTCCTGCATATCATGTGCTGTCACATATCAGGCGCGTAGCACGCATGTTGTTGTGTTTAGGTGGTGGCTAGTGGGTTCTAACTCTGTGTACAGCAGCACCAACACTGCAAGGCTCGCCATTCTTGCCTCTAAGGAGCACTCCGTCTGTACTTCTGCCAAAGCAAGTCTGTTTGTTCTTTCTGCAGTTTGTGATACTTCACTATTCCTCAACAACACCATAGTTCAAATGCATCTTCCTTAGTCAGTGCCCACTGCTCATATGCACTGGACGTGATTGAAAAATACCATGGCTTGGGTCAGGCACACTTTAGTCTTCAATATAATATTCTTGCTTTTGACTTGTGAGGCTGATTGGCCTTATCAATTGTCATTGGATCTGTTGGCTGCCGCTTCCGTTTGCATTGGTTGTGGATCCAAGAGAGTTGAAATCCATGACAACTTTAGCCTTTTCTCCATTTATCATGATCTTATGTATTGGTCCGGTTATGAGGATTTTGGTCTTCTTTATATTGAGTTGTAATCTATACTGAAGGCTGTAATCCTCGATCTCCCATCAGCTTTAAGCCCTACTCACCTTCAGCAAACCAAGGTTATGTGCTTATTGTAGTGATATACTGTGTATCTTCTTAAACACCCAAAATAGATATTCAAGATAACTTAACTTTCACCTATTAGGAAATGATATAATTCGTTGTTTTGATTATTTTATTTTTTATCAGTTTGACAGTATATTTATATAAACTTGTTCATATATATATGAACAAGTGGTAAAAAGTTCTATGTGCTAATATTATCAATGAGTTTAATATTTACAATATATAACTTACAAGTTTTCATATAAAATTTAGTCTTATCATCTGCCAGAAACTTCTTCAACAAATTTTATGCGATAATATACATAATACTTTTCATGCTAAAAATTCATAGACAAAAACTGAATAACTCACTTAGCCAAATTTATTTTTTTCAGACTGAGGGATCAAAAAAATGGTTTTTTTGATCACTAAACTGAAAGTACATTGACTTAATTTATATCCAGAAATATTCCATATTTGTATCTGTATTAGTAATTGTACTTAGGTTGCTTTATATTTCAGTTGAGGGCCTTTTATTTGGGGTAAGGAGACATCCTGCCAGGTTATAAATGTTTTATTTTTTCACATAAAGAAAGCTAGGTGGGGGCTTATGTGGTCATTTGATGTTTTCCAACCCAAGAGCTTTAGGTTCTCTGTCCTATAAATCGAAAACGTATACCTGCAGGGTAGATAAAATCTGCATCAAAATTAAGCTTAGTCACTAAGAGACGATTCTCGCTGAACCTTCTTCTGCATGTGTTTCGCCGTCACCATCAGGCACTGGAGCATCTGGCCGCTCAAGGAGCTGTGGGTCTAGTCCCTCAGATGTCTTGGTTCTCGTTGCCATCACTGGACACCCACTTGCACCATTCTGAGATGTCTGGCCTATCTTGGATCCTGGGCTACAGTGAAGATATTTTCTGCCGCTACTTCACTTTCCTGTGTCCAGACCCTTGTTCACTGTTCTGCTGTGGTTGCTCTAGTGGCTTCCGATCGTGGTCCATTTGTGACACTTTTGGCACTTAAGGGAGATAGCTCAACTGTGACATCATCTTGTCCTGAAATAGATGATAACTTTGCATCTAAAATATTGAGAGTTGTTTCAATTTGTTGGATACGAAGGGCAAGGTTTGACAGTTTCTCCTCACAAATGGTAGAAAAGTGGTTGAGGAACTGTACTGTGTGCAGCACAAATTGGTTTGACAAGCCACTGTTCTTTTCCGTGGGGTTGCTGGACCTGGGTCAGGTCTGTGCCCGAGCCCATGAGAGGAAGCCGCTCCTCATCCATCTCCTCACCGGGTGGGCGGCCTAGCGCACCCTCCTGATTATTTTATTTGTAATGATTAAAAATTGCGGAATTATTTGTGTGCATTTTGTTATAGGAATGAACTGCTTTTCATGAAATACCGTACAGTCAAGATTATCCATCATGCCTGCCGTGACTTCAGTTCCTAAAGAACTCTACCTCAGTTCTTCACTCAAAGACCTCAATCTGAAGACAGAAGTGAAAGCGGAGAAAATGAGCACTAAGAAGTACGTCTCCTTTGGTAGTTTCGTTTGTTTGTTAGCATGCATGCATGTAGTATATATTTTAAGTTCATTTCTATATTATTCAAGGTAGATGAGTAGTTCATTTTAAATATATGTGAAACTTGAATCATGTGAATAAAGAAAGTTCCTAAGAGAAAGTAGAAAGGCTCAACTGTCTTGATAGAATGTATATATTCTGAAAATGCACATAGATGTTTCTCTCTAGAACGTATATCATAAACTTAAGAGGCAGAAACTACGAAGGGTCTATAAAAATCATTCGGCCAAACGTCATATGTTTTCATAAAACATTGAGTAGTGGGGACAAGGAAAAGGAAACCCCAGGAATATGCTAATTAATAGCATCTTTGTCTCAGTGCAGCGTGATGTGAACTCCTAGCATTGACTTGATGGCATGTCTTGGACAGCCCCTAGGTTATCTCTCCTTTCTTTTTCACCGAAAATAAGAACAGAATGTAGTTTATATGCAACCCTTACAATGCACTGTTTCTACTCTCCCCAAAAGTATCCAGTCAAAATACTTGTGTGTGAAAATGAAATCATCACCAGATGCGGAGAGATGATCTAAAGTCTCACTGCATAAGATACTGTATTTTATTCAAGCAGTTCTTTATCCTCTTGTCATATTTGCATTGCTTTCTCATTCCGCTAATAAAAGAGCAACAAAAATTTTCCTCTTAAAAAAAAGGAAAAGGAAACCCCAGAATGAAGTGATATTTCTAAACATGAAGGACAAGGTAGACTTTTTAAAAAAGGAAATTTTTTAGGGGGTGAGAAAGAATAAAAGAGCAACTGGCTTATTTCTAGGGCTAAGTTGAAAATATTGATAAGGTGGCAGAAAAAGCAGATTCACTTAACTCCACTTGAGTGATTTTCAAAGAACAAGTGTTGGGAGGGAGAAAAAGGTTTTACAGCTTTCTCAGAGACGTCATCTCATCCTAAAACAGGCCCGCTTTTTCTAGCAGTGTCTGCCTTAGCTCCAGGAACGCCTTGATCCCCAAGGAAGTATCTGTAGGAAGGATAACCTAAATATATCAGTATCATATTCTTGCTCTGTTAGCGCTCCTCCAGAGCATACCAGGATTCTATTAGGATGCTTGCGCAATTCACGGGGCTCCCAAGGTGTTGTAGTGATCTACGCAGTGGCCCGGGAGAGGTGTGCGCGTCGGAGGGGGGCGGGGTGGGGTGGAGGTGGTGGTGAAGAAAACCTGGAGAAAACAACTGTTGTGTCCCCTGCTAAACTTTCTAGAGAATATGCAAACTCACTTGTGTATGATTCATATTTATCCCATTTCCCCTCTTGTTTTAAGTTATGTCCAGAGTGCTCTGAAGATCTTCAAGGCAGCAGAAGAAAGTAGATTAGATCGTGATGAGGAAAAAGCCTATGTACTGTATATGAAATATGTGGCTGTTTATAATATTATCAGAAAAAGGCAGGATTTCAAGCACCAGCAGGTACCTCTGTTTTTGCTGCTTCTTTGTTGTTTGTTTGTTTGTTTGTTTGCTGGAGTTAGTGATTTCGTATCAAAGTTTTCACTGACAATGAAGTTTAGATTATACTATGCAATATCAAGTTCAAACTCTTATACAGGTAGAAAAATAGAATTCAGATTTAGTGTCATTATTTACAAACATATTACCTTGGATTATTGTAAATTTAAATTAACATCGAGATTCATAATCTGGGGGGAGGGGGAAAAGTCATGATCTGTTTCCTGTGGGAACAAATCTTTGCCAAATCCAAGTGAAAGGGTTCCGTTTTTTCACACATTAGATGGAGAAAAATATGACAGAATTGTATCCTCTAAAGGTTCACGATTTCATCATTTAAGTTTTTCTGTGACAGCTTTGTCAGATAGGCGTTGGGCTGCTAACCACAAGATCGGAGGTTCAAACCCACCAGCCACTGTAAGAGAGAACCAGGAAGCTGCCTGCGTCCATAAAGATGTACAGCCTAGGAAACCCTATCTGGGATCACTGGGTCAGAATTGACTCCGTGGCTGGGTTTGGTATGGTTTTGCTTTGGTGGCCACATTAAAAAGGTCTGAACTTGCAAAATGAATCCTGAGACTTCCCTATGACTTGTGTTTCACTTTCAATCCTTTTAGTAGGTTGAGTCAGCCTTCCGCATTCCTAAGGCCAGGAATAGATGAGGGAGATGTAAGTAATAGAGGGACCTGATGTCAGGGTTAAGAATTGCTAGAGAAAATGGTTGCATTTTCATTAAACCAGAAATAGACAAAAAGAACATAGAGACTCAGTTAAAGAAATGGGAAGAATGTTATTCTGGTGGGTTCTACCTTTAATTAGGAATTAACTATCTTGCTACCAGTTAATAGTAGCAAAATACTACCACTAGATTTCTTGCCTTTTGCAGAAGCCATTCTTGAATTAATATGAAGATTTCATCTTCCCTTCCCCATTCTCTCCCTCACCCCTGCCCTCTCCCTCCTCTTTTTCCTTCCTCCCCTCCTCCCTTCCTTTTCCTTTCTCATTTCCTTTCCCTCTTCCTCTCCCTCACTCTCCCTCACTCTCCCCCCCTCCCCCTCCCCCCCCTCAGATTTAAAAAAAAAAAGATTTCATCTTGTTCTTTGGTGGTACAATTGGGTTATGTCATACTTTGGATTTACTGGGGCTTTTTCTTCCAAGTGGTGGGAATAGCATAACTTTTTGGTCCCTGGTTTACTGCTCACTTGAGTGAAATTTCCTTCTTGGTGATCAAGCATTTCTGCTGCTGCTTCGCACCAGCAGCGGTATGTGAGCGATCGTTGTTCCAAGTCGAGCAGTGCATTCATCCGCCCACCTGCCTTGGAAGAGGCCTCTCTCGCTCAACAATTTTTGTGCATGATTGAGATGGGCATCAATTCAAACAAGCTTTTGTACATGCTTTGATGGTTTTTATGCTATCTGCTGCTGTGGAATTGATTAAAAAGTATACATTTGCTTAAGTATTGAAAGATTTGTATGTTTGAATAACTTTGACAGTTTTAGTGTTTACCGTTTTGTCTGTTGGGATAGTGCTTTTTATGAACTTGTGTACTTTTTGCTTGCTTTTTATAAATTAGTAGTTAATTTTTTTCTGTGAGAAGGTTGGGAATGTTTTTGGTTGCTACCGGTTTTTTTCTTTGAGAAGGTTGGGAGTACATTTTAGTTGATACGAGATTTTTCCATTTCCACAGAGTCCCTATTGCATTCCCAAGGAAGTAGCTAGTTGAAAGCAGCAGGACAGCTCAGGTTAGAAAATCCCTACAAAGGCTCGAGTAACCCAGGATATTGCGGCAAGGGCTGCAGTTGTTCAGTCCTTGGTTTGCAGGAGAAGGATTGATCATTTCATCTGTACTGTCTACGGTAACTCATCTGCTTCTACCATAGGACATTTTTGTTGTCATTGAACCGAACTTCACCAGGACACATCAGGTGCTTGAGAAGTTAAATCTACTAACCACCTTATATACTCGAGTATAAGCTGACCTGAATATCAGCCGAGGCCCCTAATTTACCACAAAAACTGCAATAAGAATGTGCTGAAAACTCAGCTTATACATGAGTATATATGGTAGATATTTTCCAATTTTTGCCCTTTGTCAGGTGGTTGTGGTTACATGTTGGACTTCAAACCTCAAAGGCATTGTGGTTACATGTTGGACTTCGAACCTCAAAGTCAGCAAGTTCAAAACCACCAGCCACTCTGTGGGAGGAAGACGAGGGTTTCTATTCCTGTGAAGAATTCCCCTTTCAGAAAGCTGCAGGGCAGTTCTGCCCTGTCCTGTGGGGTCTCTGTGACTTGGAATTGACTCAATGGCAGTGAATGGTTTTTTGTTTTATTTTGGTTTTAAGTCAGGTAGGGACTGAATGTAATATCACTGGTCTTTTCTGGTAATTTGTATCTTTTGCTTGTTTCAGACTAGAGAATATTTTAAGATATGTATAATTTGTTGACTTAGAAAACTATTTAGCTAGTAAAGAACTTAATACATTTATTGCTCACTTGTTTATAGCTTATGAACATCATCACAATTGTTTTAAAAAGGGGAATTGAAAATATTAGTATTACAAAGTCTACATAAAATTAGAATTGCATTTTTAATTCTCTATGGTATTCTTGATCATTGAGCCTTAATGTTCATTGGTGAACCCATTTTATGGTAGGCTTGAGAGAATCATGAGATTTATATGAATTTATATGGTCAGGAGTAAGAAAGTTTTACCTGGTAAATCTGAGAGGCAAAAGTTTTTAGTTGCTTAATAGTTGAATATTTTTCATTTTTCCAGTTGTCACACTATTAAAAGCTTTTAAGTGATAACTTGCTTTAACTGTAAAAATTGCTTTAAGAACAGGGAGAGCTATCACCATTGACTCTAAAAGGCACTCAGTCGCGTGGAGGGAGTATCGCCTGTTAGTTTTAACAGGCATGCCCTTGACAAACCGCTTTTTCAGCATGTGAGCAGAGTTCAGTTGAGTTTACAAGCTGGCTTTATCGTGAGTGCAGGTCCAAAGATGAATAAAACAGTCAAAGCATTTTTTGGTTTTTACATTTTTAAACCAGAAGAACCATACAAGTAGTGATTTTTAATTTTAATTTTCTATTTAAAAAGAACTGCGTCAGTAATGAAGGCCACTTGGTAGCCAACGTACTTAGAGTTTCCACTGAAAGGTTCTGTTGCTAAAATTTAAATTGTGCACTTTTATTGGAGTACCATCTTGAACACCTTACCTGTTTAATTTTTAATCTAAAAAAACTCAATCAGACATGGTCTACTTAAAGCAGTAGTTGCCAAAGTGGGTGATACCACTCACTGGGAGGTGCTGGGATGAACTGGGGACTGCAAAAGCAGGTAAGCACTGAGCAATTTTCCCCCCTCCTTGAAAAGGGGGCAGCAGGCCAAATAAGTTTGGGAACCTTTGGGCTAGATAAGACACATGATCATTGCGATCAACAAACGTGCTGCCTCAGCGCACTGTAGATGACTGTCTGAAGGGCCAGAGACGGACCCTTCTGACCTCTTGCCCTCTTGAATAACTTTTGCTTACTTCCCTTTGGGAAGAGCTGTGTTGTGTACACTAGCCAGTACTAACATTGTGGGATGGTTTTCCTATAATTTTAGGAGTACTTTCATTCAATTCTTGGAACTTCCAACCTCAGGAAAGCTGTTGAAGAAGCTGAAAGACTCTCGGAAAGCCTTAAACTCAGGTACAGACATTATTATAAAATATAAGAGAATGTAGATTTAGAAGAGGAACATAACATTTGGAATTTTTCATTTATGTATGAGTGGCATGTAATCCCCCTTTCCAGAAACAGGCTTGATTTTAACTGGAACACAAAAATCAAATCCTTTCGCTCTCTCACCTAGCTTGCATTCGTGTTTTACAATTAGTAGTCTTCACTAGACATTTTAAAGTATTTAGAATGATAAATTGGAACGGTAAATGCTGGTTTATTAGATTAAAACTCTGGTCTAATGTTCTGTTTCTAAGTTTCTGATAGAATTCTTCAGAAAATGCAAACTCTTCATGTGTTCCATGTTGCACTGTGCTACTGGACACTAGCCTTATAGGAATGACGTGCTGGCTGTAAGTTTTGATCTGCCTGGTTCAGAAGTTTTAGATATATATGTATATATGAATTTAATTATGCTACATGCCATGACTGACTTGCCAAGATTATAAAATGATTAATTAAAAAATAGATGTTTCAGTATTTAGTCATTCTGTAAATATCGGGGGAAAGGAAGTATTTTCAATTTAGTGTTTTTCTTCATAATTTGTCATCAATTATTGTAATGAAATGAATTATAATCTCTACTTAGAAATTATCTCTTTAATGCATTTACTGCCCCTTTCATGAATTATTAATCTTGAGACTGCAATATGTTAAGGGAAAAACCCACCATTGTTGATTCAGACTTCGAGAAAACCTTTCGCACAGAGTAGAACTGCCCCAGAGGGTTTCCAAGACTATAAAACTTTATAGAAGCCCTCTGATAACATACTTCTTTCTCTGAGTTGCTGCTAGTTTCAGAACATGCATTCACCAAAACTGCCAAAGTTGTCCAAACTTGCAAATCTTTCATTATTTAATTTAACAAGCATATTTAACTTCCTTTAACCAACTCTATCCACACTAACAGATGCTCTAAAAACCATCAAAGTATGTGCAAAAACTTGTTTGATTTTTGGGCAGTCTCCGTCTCTTACAGCATGCCCATAATGTTAAATGGTGTCTCCCAACACAGGGCTAATACTGTCATTTGTGCATGGATGAATGAATCACAGAACACATTAGAAAGTGGATTGTTACAGATGCAGTTAGGTTAAAATTTTTCCTGCCATCTTTTCAATTGAGATTTTATCTGTTTTACTTTGTTATTATTGGTAGTTTTTTTGTTTTAAATGTTTTTTTGTATGTGAAATCCAGGGTAGGTCAATCTAGAGAGACAATTAAAAAAACGGAATGGGAAAATTCCCCTATTGTGTAATTCTTTTCCCCCACAAACTTTTTGAAGTCCCCCTCATGAGGGCAGTGATGAGTCAGTTGTAGAATTCTCACCTTCTACAGGGTAGGCCTAGGTTCAACAGTGGAGATATATGTTGCTGTGATGCTGAACAAGTTTCGATGGAGCTTCTAGACAGAGACAGATAGTCTGGAATGAAAGGTCTGGTGATTTCCTTCCACAAATCTGCTAATGAAACTCCAGATCACAGCAGTCTACTCATAGGACTGGCAGCGTTTGTTCTGTTGGGAGTGAGGTCCTCACAGGCAAGGGTCGACTCTGTGGTAGCTAACAGCAGTAGAGTGATTAAATATGTGAAAATTACTATAGTAAACATCAAGGAGAAATGGGGTATCTCTTTAAAACAGGAAATCCTTCTTAGCCATTAGCATATTTTGTGTCTCAAATGTTGTGTAAGTCAGCCTTGGCAGTCCGGTGCATTAAGCTTGGGGCTGCTAACCAGAGTGCCCCAGGTAGAGTCGAGGCCACTGCTCCTTTGGAGATGCACAACTCCAGCCTTGGAGACCCTCACAAGCAGTTCCACTTTATCCTAGAGGGACCCTGACAGCTGAGTTGGCTCGATGGCAGTGGGGCTTTGTTTTATTTTGTTTTTTCAGTGTTTGTGAAGAGCCCTTGTGATGCAGTAGTAGCTTGGCTGTTAACTGAAAGATTGTGGATTGGAACCACCCAGCCACTCTGCAGGGGGAGAGACCTGCTCCCAAAACAGTACAGCCTGGGAACCGTGTGGAGCTCTTCTACACTCTGGCCTTGCGAGTTAGAGTCTACTTGACAGCACACAACAATAACGAGGCCAAGAGAACCTTTTTGCTCTGTGTTGTCCTCATTGCGTGTCCTGTTCCACAAGCACTACCAGTTAGGTTTCTTTCTCTGACATGGAGAGCAGCTCTGGATGGACACTCACATCTTCTACCCTGCTTCTCTCATAGTGAGTCGGCCGTGGAGCCCTCGCAGTCTCTGAAATCTGTACTTGCACCTGCTAAGGGTTTCTGTCGTGTTAGGTCAGCAGGCTAAGAAAACGCATCAGGCAGGTTGGCCGCCGTGTGCACACGCCGGCGAAGGCACGAGGGCCGAGGAGAGAAGAAACAGAGTTCCCAGCGCTCGCGGTCTTGTGGGTCGCCTCCCTTGGCACGCTGGCAATGGCTTCCAAACTCCTGCATGCGGTCATCCTCGGGCCGCCCGGCTCTGAAAAGGGCACCGTGTCCCAGAGGATCACCCAGAACTTCGGCCTCCAGCATCTCTCCACTCCTTGCGGGAGAACATCAAGGCAAACACAGAGGTTGGTGACATGGCAAAGCAAGTACATCGGGAAAGATCTTTTGGTTCCTGACCATGTGATCACACGCCTAATGGTGTCAGAGCTGGAGAACAGGAGTGGCCAGTACTGGCGACTGGATGGTTTCCGTAGGACTTTAGTACAGGTTGAAGTCTTGGACAGAACTGTGAGCTGGATCTAGTGATCACGCTGAACGTCCGTTTGAAACGCTCAAAGACCGTCTCAGCCAGTGTTGGGTTCACCCTCCCAGTGGAAGGGTGTATAACCTGGACTTCAACCCACCTCATGTACATGGCATGGATGCTATCACTGGTGAACCATTGGTCCAGCAGGAAGATGATAAACCGAAGCCGTTGCTGCCAGGCTAAGGCAGTACAAGGATGTGGCTAAGCCAGTCATTGATCTATACAAGAGCCAGGGAGTGCTCTACCAATGTTCTGGGATGGAGACGAACAAAATCTGGCCCTATGTGTACACACTCTTCTCGAACAAGATAACACCTATTGAATCCAAAGAAGCCTCCTAGCCTGCCCGATGGGAGAACCAGGAAAATGTGATCCTTCATTCAAATGTGTGTGAAGTCTTGGTGCCATGTCCAAATGAGAAGCTTGCCCCTACAGCTCGCAGTGTCTTTCCTAGTTTCTGTGGGGCACTGGCATATGCAAACTCAGGAGTAAACGGAGGCCCCCCCCTGCCTTCCTGAAGGAGGCACACCTGCCCACGTCGAAGATGCCTCTGCACAGGTCTCAAGCCCTTTGTGAAGAATCAGGTACAGATGGAATTTCAAATGGTGTATGAGCTAACTTGCCAATTTTGCCAGCCAGGTCGTCGCTCTAGTAGCATACTCAGTGGTGGTGGCCACTGGCTCTGTCTCTCAAAGGCCGTGGAACTACAGCACCAGCAGGCCTGAGAACGCCAACAGCTACAGCCCAGGCTTTGTCCCTGGTATGTGCTCTGCCGGTCACAGTGGGATCGAAGCCAGATGCTCTCAAAGGTTGCTTCTCTGGTCTGGAGTGACTGGGCCCACCATTTTTTTCTCGTTGGACTGACATCTTTTTTCAGCATCCATGCTGCATGGAGTCGCCCCTTTGCAGACCTCCTAGAATGAAATGATTTGGCTTTCACTAATTTTATTAGACGGCATTATTTGTACATCTCTTTTATCGCTTCTGAGATGAATACTGACAGTTGTTGCTTTGGTCCCTCTCAAATCTCCTTTTCTAAGAGCTGAGAGCAAGGAGACTGCAGAGCTCTCTTCCCCTTCCAAGAACGGAACTATGCAGAGGAGCTAAAGCGACTGCTCGGGTTCTCATGCATTGAAATGGCTCCTGTTATTGTGTGTGGGGGAAATAAATAAAAGCCTCCAAAGTCTCATAGAAAATATTCAAAACACACAAATATTAAAAGATCATAGCTCATACATGAAATAATAAGGTCCTATGAAATTACTGGACTAACAGACTGTTTTAGCCTTTTTACTCAAGACAATAAAATTTTGTTTTGAAAATACTAAAAAAAAAAGGAAAAACGCACCAGGGATGGGTGCTGTCCAGAGTTTGGTGGGTAATCTGTGTGGATTTCGAGTGAAAGTCCAGAATACTTTGAAATAAATTTCGTGTTAAATCCTGTTTAGTCACCTGACTTCCAGGTATGTGTCTCTTTTCCACTTCAAAATCCCTAAATCCCTTGTATAGACTGACTTGATACTTTCAACCGTAGGAAGCAAAAAGACCTAATGAGTGACCAGAAAAAAAAAAATTAGCATCACCTGCCCTTAGAGTATTATTGTCAAATATTTATATACCTACCTATTTCTCTTACATTCATACTAGGGGTGGTTTTAGATTAATTTTGTTTTTGGTGCATTTTTTAAATTATGGATTACCCTGTTTCCTTGAAAATAAGACCGTGTCTTATATTAATTTTTGCTCCCAAAGATGCGCTAGGTGTTATTTTCAGGGGATATCTTATTTTTCCATGAAGAAGAATTAGATACACACTTATTGTTTATTGTTTTATTAAAAGAGACTCGCACTTCCTGTCTGCTCCGGCTGCACTGCGGCCAACAGTGACCTGTGCCCCGCCGCTACAGTCCAGGGTCCAGAGTTACTGTAGCTTCGGGGCCTTATTTTGGGGAGGTCTTATTTTCGGGGGGATGCCTCATATTTCAGCGAGAGGCAAAACTGTAAGTAGGTCTTATTTTCGAGGGATGTCTTACTTTCAGGGACAGGGTAGGGGGTTGAGGGGGGTGGATTAAATTTGGCCAAGTCTGAAGGTATTAGAACCCTAGTAAAAGGGATTAGAAGGTAGTTGTACAAAGGAACCAGAAATCAAGGTCATGGAGAGCATGTTTTCATTTCACCTCAGCTTAACAACCGAAGCTCCAAAGCAGGAGAACATCAG